CCCTTCTTGGAGCCCTCTTGGGGCCGCCTTGGGCGGTACTGGGTGCCTCCTGGGCCGTCTTGGGGCCCAGTTGGGCACCGCTTCGCCTTATTGGGGCCCCCTCTTGGGGGCCTCTTGGGCCGTCATGAACGCTGTCAAAATCTACAAAAACTGGACTGCCTGGACGCAATGTGGGCCCGTTCCGAAGCCACGTTGGCCCATCTGGGACCTATTTGGAACCTAACCGGAAGCTCCCGGGGGGCCGGGGAAGCTCTGGGGAGGCTCCGAGGAGGCCCTGGGGGGGAGGGGACTTACCCTGTATCAATGGCCCCTGGTGGTCTTCGGCCCGGGATGGCCCCGGGTCGGGTTTTCGGTATATGATGTACGTACGTACGCAAGCACGCACGCACGCACGCACGAACGTCCGTCTGTACGTATGTACGTCTGATTGTATGAATGATTGTAAACATGCATGCATGCATGTGTGTATGAATGTATGTGTGTATGTATGTATGTGCGTACGCACCGATGTGTGTATGATTGTCTATGTGTATGGATGCATGTATGTATGTGTATGTGTGTATGTATGTATGCATGCATGCATGCATGTATGCATGCATGTATGACTGAAAAGCTGCATGTATGTATGAATGCGTGCACTATGTATGCATGTATGTATGCATGTATGCATGTATGCATGTACGTGTGAATGTATAGATGTGTGTATGTGTGTATGCATGTATGTATGTACGTATGCGTGTATGCATGTATGCATGTATGTGTGCATGCATGTATGCATATCAGCATGTATGCATGTACGCATGTATACATGTATGTTGGCGTGAATACATACATGTATGTACGTATGAGTGTGTGTGTATGCATTACATGTGTGTATGGTTTTATGTATGTATGTATGTATGTATGGATGGATGGATGGATGTGTGTATGTATGTATGTATGTATGTGTGTGCATGCATGTATGTATGTTTGTATGTATGTATGTATGTATGTATGTATGTATGTATGTATGTATGTGTGTGCATGTATGTATGCACGTACGTGCATGCATCTATGTATGTGTGTGTGCAAACATGTATGTGCATATATGTATGTATGTATGTATGTATGTATGTGTGTGTATGTATGTATGTATGTATGTATGTATGTATGTATGTATGTATGTATGTATGTATTATGTATGTATGTATGTATTGATGTATGTGTATGCATGCATGTATGTTTGTATTGTTGGTACCATGTGGAGATGCTTTGTATGTATATCTGTATATGCTTGTTTGTATGTATGGATGTATGCATGGATGCATGTAAGTATGTATGTATGTGTGCATGTGTGTATGTATGTGTTTAAGTATGTATGTGATGTTGTATGTATGCATGTATGTATGTATGTACAGTGTGCATCCATGTATATATGTATTACGTACGTACGTATGGATGTACGTAGGTACGCATGTACGTATGTACGTTCCCCAATCGGTGCTTCCACTGAAGGGGTCCTAGCGGATATTGAAAGCTTTGGCAAGAATCCCGCCCGGGCCGATTTTGGTGGCTGGCTGGGTTCCCGGGTTCCCGGTTCTGGGTTCCCGGGTTCCCAATTGCTGGTTCCGGGCCGATTCCGGTGGGCGGCGGGGTTCCCTGGTTTCCGGGTTCCCGGGTTCCTGGTCGATCTCCTTATCGATCGGTCTCACCGCTGATCTCACTACTCCATCCCTTTCTGGTTCTTACAATCGATCTCACAATCGATCTCACTATCGATCTCGCTATAGATGGCACTATAGATCGCACGAGCGATCTCACGATCGATCTAACTGAATCGACTTCATAATCGGTCTCACGATCTATCTTACTGTCGTCCTCACTACCACTCCCACTATCAATCTCACTATCGAGCGCACAATCGATATCGATATCCAGTTCACCTACTTCAAACCATCCACTGGTTGGGGGTTGCTCCCTGGTATGATATGTATGTATGTGTAAACGTGTATGCTACCGGAGAAAATCCAATCATCATCTTTTTAGGGCTGTAGGGCTATGGGGCTGCAGGGCTATGGGGCCATGGGGCTATAGGTCTACAGGGCTATAGGGCTATGTGGCAGCAGGGCTATAGGGCTATAGGGCTGTAGGGCTATAGGGCTATAGGGCTATGGGGCTCTGGGGCTATGGGGCTGTAGGGCTATAGGGCCAGAAGGCTATAGATATATGAGGCTATAAGGCTATAGGGCTATAGGGCTATAGGGCGATTGGGCAATAGGGCTATAGGGCGATTGGGCAATAGGGCTATAGGCACATAGGGCTGTAAGGCTATTGGGCTATAGGACTATAGGGCTATTGGGCTATAGGGTTGTAGGGCTACAGGGCTATACGGCTATAGGGCTATAGGGCTATAGGGATATAGGGCTATACGGCTATACGGCTATAGGGCTATAGGGCTATGGGGCAATGGGGCAATGGGGCTATGGGGCTATAGGGCTACAGGGTTATAGGGCAACAGGGCTATAGAGCTATGGGGCTATAGGGCTACAGGGTTACAGGGCTATAGGGCAAAAGGGCTATAGGGCTATAGTGCTATAGGGCTATAGAGCTATAGAGCTATAAGGCTGTAGGGCTATAGGGCTATAGGGCTATAGGGCTATAGGGCTATAGGGCTATAAGGCTATAGGGCTATTGGGCGACAGGGCTATAGGGCTATAGGGCTATAGGGCTATGGGCCTATGGGGCTCTGGGGCTACAGGGCTGTAGGGCGATAGGGCTATAGGGCACCCGGGCACCTGGGCACCCGGGCACCCGGGCACCCGGGCACCCGGGCACCGGGGTGGGCCGCGGAAATCGGTGACGCACCCCACCTAACCGTATGAATCCGCTAGGACCCCTACGGAGGCAAGCTCTTATTGCGGAATGTGTGTATGTGCGTATGTGCGTATGTGTATCTGAGTGTATGTATGTAGGTATGTATGAAAGTATGCATGTATATGTGTATGTGTGGGTTGATTCATGTATCTGTATATTGTGTATAGATGTATGTTTGTTTGTTGATATGTATGTAGGTGAGTATGTATGTAGATATGTAGGTATGTATGATCCATGTATGCATGCATACATGCATGCATGTGTGCATGTATGTATGAACGTACGTACGTCTGTGCGTACGTACGTACGTACGTGCGTTCGTACATACGTACACATGCATGTATGTATGTGTATGGATGTGTGTGTGTCTGCTTCTATAGATGTATGTGCGTATGCGTTTATGTAAATATACCTGCATACATATGTGTATGTATGTACGTATGTATGTGTGTATGCTTGTATGCATGTGTGTACGTACGTATACGTATGGATGTATGTGTGTGCGTGTATGTGCGTATGTGTATATGGAATATGTATGCATGGTTGACAGTATGTATGTAAACTTGTGTATATACGTATGTGCGCAGGTGTGTAAGTATGTCGAAATGTGGGTATGTAGGTATGTTAGTAGGTATGTATGCATGCATGTTTGTATGTGCATGATCGAATGTGTATAATTAAGTATGCATGCATGTATGTATGTGTGCATGCCTGTATGCATGTATGCATACATTGATGTGTGTTTGCATGTAAGTATGTGTGCAGTCATGCATGTATGTATGTATGTGTATAGATGTCTAAAGGAATGTATACATGTATGTATGTGTGTATGTATGTATTCATGCATGTATGCATATATGTTTGTGTATGTACTTATGTATGTGTGTATGTATGTATGTATGTATGTATGTATGTATGTATGTATGTATGTATGGTTGTATGTATGTATGTGTGTATGTATGTATGTATGTATGTATGTATGTATGTATGCATGTATGTATGTGTATGTGTATGTGTATGTGTATGTGTATGTGTATGTGTATGTAAGTATGTATGTGTGTGTGCACTTTGGCAGATGCATGTATATATGTGCATGTATGTGTATGAGTGCATGTGCGTATGTTTGCATGAATACAAAAATACGTGTACGTCGAGATGAGAACGCTATGGAGGGGGGGAAGCCCACCCTCCATTGGGGGTCATCACGAGAGGCCCCGTGGGGGTGTATCCTCGAGTTCCACTTCGTCTCCGGGCGGAAGGGGCGGGGGGAATCGGGGAAAGGGGGCGAGAAGTCGCCTGCAGGCAACGACGACAGCGACGTCGACCCGCTTGCTCCGGAAACTGCTGCCACGGCTGGGCGCGGGCTGGGCCCCCAGCTGGAGTGGGCCCCGGGCGGGGGACCCTGGGATGCTCCCGCTCTCTCCGCTCCCGTGGGGGGGTCGCTGGACTGCGCCAGCACACGGATGGAACTCGCCGTCCACGCCCTTGGCCTTCGCCTTGAACGTGTGGGCGGCACCTTGGCATGCACGGGCGGCGACGTCGACTCGCCGCCACGTGCTGAGAACGAAGGGGCGCTTGATCATAATCGGTATCTGCCTCGGGGACGAGGACCAGCAGGCATGATGGCAGACAAGCATGTCATAGAGGTCGGCGACCGCACTTACGGGCGAAACGCACAGGGAGGGAGCACCAGGGCGGCCTTCTGCTTGAAGGATCGCCCCACCAATGGGCGCCGACTGCCTGGGAAAATGACGCCGAGCGCACAGAAGAGCGGCGAGCAGGCCCCAGGCGAGTCGGGCGAACGGCTGGTAGTGAGGACAAGGAGGATCCGGAGGAGAGGGAGGACAAGGAGGAGGGAGATCGAGAGAGTGCGAGAGGGAGAGAGGGAGAGAGGGAGAGAGTGAGAACGGGAGAAAGGGAGAAAGGGAAAAAGGGAAAGAGAGAGAGAGAGAGACAGAGAGAGAGAGGGGGAAGGGGGGCGAGAGAGGAAGTCAACGAAAGAACCTTTGAGAGGAAACATGAGGGGAATGAGGGAGAGGAGAGAGGAGCCGAAGCACGTTGATCCCCAGGCTACCCAATGAAAGTTCTTTGAATTTTCGTCATGTCGCCCACTAGCGGAAACCGACGGAAATAAAACGAGGCAGAACACGTCGGAAGGCCATTGGAAGGCTTGCGGAAAACAGCGGAAGTAAATGACGCTTTGCCCGAACCCCCGGACCCCCCGTAGAAGCCTAGCATTTTAGTCTTTTCCCGTGGGCCGGCCGGGATCCCGCCTAGCTCACTCCCCTTTGATATTATAATTTTAGCTCAGTCCGACTAAAATCCCACCCAATAGAAATAGGGTAAACAATTATCCCGGGCTGTCCACAGATCCCGACATGCTGGGATCATTTCAAAGTAAGATGCGGCTCCGAAGTTGCAACATTCCTGGCATGTCAGGAACGTCTTGAGATCATGTTGAAATCAAACCTCGGTCATGCTTGGATCGCCACCCTGGGCGCGCGTGGATCCATCTTGTTGCCATCGGGCCATCTCGGCGTCACTCGTGGCTCCTGTTCGGTCATCTTTGAGTCGGCCTGGGACGGTCCAGAATCCATGGCGGGATCGTGCTGGGGTGGCGTCATCCCAGGGTCGTCTGAACGCTGCCGTCTGTGGCCTCAGGCCCTCTTGGAACCATTTTGCGGCCATGGGGGCGTCTTGGGATCTCGCGTGCGCGAGTGCGGAGCACGCGCGCGCGACAACTCATGCCGCCGATGGGCGTACACACATGTACTTCTTGTTGCGATTTTCCAAGGAAACTGTTGTTGGAGCCAAGTAGCACTGCAATAAATCAATGGAAAGCATAAAACAATCACAGACTGGCCCTGTTTAATTTGTGTTGATTGCAGTCGGGACTTGCGGACAAAGGCCACCCGCTTATTCCACCCAGGCCATCCAACTCCCTGCTTGGCGCTGCGCGATACACGAAAAAACATTATCCTCGCAGCCTCGCGCTGCCCCATGGGGAAGGATCCCCCGCCGAGCCCCGACGCACGAAGCGAAGCGTGCTCAGGCACAGCATGCAAGAGAGGTGGGCGTGCTCGGCCGAAAGCCGTGGCCTTGCCTCCGTCGGCGCGCCACCGAAACCCGTGGCCTTCGCTCGCTCCGTCGGCGCGCCAGTGGCACGCAGCCCCTGACGAATCCGTGGCACAAACGGCCGCCGCGGCCGGGCGTAGGGCCAGCCACGGGCAGCCGAAGCAGCCAGCGGCGGCAAAGCCATCGGCCAGACAGCGGGCGAAGCGGGCGTTGGGTGTTCCCGGGCCCGCTGCCGGGGCGGCTCGCGTGGATCCTCGTCGGAGGCCTCGGACGCGGCTGGCGGGGAGTCCACACCTCCGCCATGGCCCCACAAAAAGGTCCCGCGGGGGGCCCGTCTCGGCGCTCTGGTGGGCGCATCTGTGGGCCGCCCTGGAGGTCCTGGGGGCCGGGCCAAGAGGGCACGGTCGCGGGGGCATGCAGTGTGGGGGGAGTCTGAGAGGGGACGGTTTCTTAGAAGCACGCCTGCTTCTTAGAAGGGGGCGGCCTTGTTTGTAGATCTAGGGCTGGCGATCTCGAAGAGGCAGGCTGCGTATGGATCTAGCATACCTCGGCCTATATCGGTATCAAGAGCGCCCAAGACGGCCCGAGAGGCCCCCCAGGATCGCCCCACAACGACCCCACATGGGGCCCAAAAGGCGCGGAAATCGAACTGATTTTTCGAGCCATTTCTCTAAAGATGGCCCCCGAGATCGCCAGGCGGCCCTTGCGAGGCACCCGGACACCAGCAAGAAAAACCCACGAGGCCCCAGCAGACCTTCAAGAAGCTCCCAAGAGTCCCCAAAGAGACACGGTGGCGGGATCAGACGAAGGCTATTCGATAATCCCCTGGCCCAAACCGCAAAACGCGGATACAATTGACCAACGAAAGGAAACTTGCCTTACGCGAGGTGGTATATCGACCTTATGCAGCGGCTTACGCGGGCCGCCAGCGCGGCACGCCGAATTGGAAACGAAGGCGCTCATGCGCTACCTTACGCGGGACGCTTACGCGCCAATGTCGGTGAAGACTACCCTTGTGTCGGCGTCATTATTCCAAGACGCCGCGGCTATGGATACACTGACATCCGCCGAGATGTTGCTGTTCGACTCCGCGACCAAATACTTATCCCGGCAAAGCAACCTAACAGCGATGTGTAGGAGCATATCTGGAAGCATTCCCCTTAAGATTGAGATGATAATCCAGTCGTAGAATTATGCTGTTCTCGCAGTCGTAGTCGCATTCGCGATGACAGTCGCAGTGGCAACGGCAGTCGCAGTCACAGCCTCAGCCTCAGCCTGACTCAGCCTCAGCATCAGCCTGCCTCAGCCTCGGCCTGCCTCTGCCTCAGCCTCAGCCTGCTTCAGCCTCAGCATCAGTCTGCCTTCAGCCTCGGCCTCAGCCTCAGCCTGCCTCAGCCTCAGCCTGCATGAGCCTCAGCCTCAGCCTCAGCCTGCCTCAGCATTAGCCTGCCTCAGCCTCAGCCTCAGCCTGCCTCAGCCTCAGCCTCAGCCTGCTTCAGCCTCAGCCTCAGTCTGCCTTCAGCCTCGGCCTCAGCTCAGCCTGCCTCAGCCTCAGCCTGCATCAGCCTCAGCCTCAGCCTCAGCCTGCCTCAGCATCAGCCTGCCTCAGCCTCAGCCTCAGCCTGCCTCAGCCTCAGCCTCAGCCTGCTTCAGCCTCAGCCTCAGTCTGCCTTCAGCCTCGGCCTCAGCCTCAGCCTGCCTCAGCCTCAGCCTGCATCAGCCTCAGCCTCAGCCTCAGCCTGCCTCAGCATCAGCCTCAGCCTCAGCCTCAGCCTCAGCCTCCTCAGCCTCAGCCTCAGCCTCAGCCTCAGCCTCAGCCTCAGCCTCAGCCTCAGCCTCAGCCTCAGCCTCAGCCTCAGCCTCAGCCTCAGCCTCAGCCTGCCTTCAGCCTCAGCCTCAGTCTGCCTTCAGCCTGCCTCAGCCTCAGCCTCAGCCTCAGCCTCAGCCTCAGCCTGCCTCAGCCTCAGCCTCAGCCTCAGCCTCAGCCTCAGCATCAGCCTCAGCCTCAGCCTCAGCCTCAGCCTGCCTCTCTGCCTCAGCCTCAGCCTGCTTCAGCCTCAGCCTCAGTCTGCCTTCAGCCTCGGCCTCAGCCTCAGCCTGCCTCAGCCTCAGCCTGCATCAGCCTCAGCCTCAGCCTCAGCCTGCCTCAGCCTCAGCCTGCCTCAGCCTCAGCCTCAGCCTCAGCCTCAGCCTCAGCCTCAGCCTGCTTCAGCCTCAGCCTCAGTCTGCCTTCAGCCTCGGCCTCAGCCTCAGCCTGCCTCAGCCTCAGCCTGCCTCAGCCTCAGCCTCAGCCTCAGCCTGCCTCAGCATCAGCCTGCCTCAGCCTCAGCCTCAGCCTGCCTCAGCCTCAGCCTCAGCCTGCTTCAGCCTCAGCCTCAGTCTGCCTTCAGCCTCGGCCTCAGCCTCAGCCTGCCTCAGCCTCAGCCTGCATCAGCCTCAGCCTCAGCCTCAGCCTGCCTCAGCATCAGCCTGCCTCAGCCTCAGCCTCAGCCTGCCTTCAGCCTCAGCCTCAGCCTGCTTCAGCCTCAGCCTCAGTCTGCCTTCAGCCTCGGCCTCAGCCTCAGCCTGCCTCAGCCTCAGCCCCAGCCTGCTTCAGCCTCAGCCTCAGTCTGCCTTCAGCCTCGGCCTCAGCCTCAGCCTGCCTCAGCCTCAGCATGCCTCAGCCTCAACATCAGCCTGTCTCAGCATTCAAAATGTGGCCCGGGAATGGAGTTTTGGGAATTCGAAGAACACGAAGTGGCCTACAGTTGGCTCTGGGCATTCAAAATCATGCCCAGGAATAAAATTCTGGGAACTCGAAGACCACGAAATGGCCTACAGTTGGCTCCGGGCATTCAGAATGTGGCCCGGGAATGGAGTTTTGGGAATTCGAAGACCACGAAGTGGCCTACAGTTGACTCCGGGCATTCAAAATCATGCCCAGGAACGGAGTCCTGGGACCTCGAAGACCACGAAATGTGCAACTGTTTGCTTAAAACGATTTCCGCGGGTTCTCCCCGGCACCCGCCCAAATCCCCTCTGGTGAGTCAAGATGTTCTCTTCTGACACTACTAGAAACCTATCAGTTTTCGTTGTTAGGTAATTAGCCTGGCGAAGGACCCAACCATATGCAGTTGTGAATACCGCAATTATGAATATAATCTTCGCCCGCGCTCCCTATGGGGCCACGAACTGTGTGAGGGGAGTGGCGACATGTGTGGCGGGGCACACAACACGAGCGAAGACGATAGGTCTGTGTGCGAGAGAGCGAGTGAGTCTGATTGTGGATGAATCTGCGCGCGCGTGACTCTACGTGCATAAATATAGACGCCCATACTGGCATGCCTCTGACGAGGATCGCGCCCGCCTCCTTTCCGTTTTTCTTTTCCCTGTTTGCCCGTGCACGCCCACGTCCAAGGCTGCGGGCGCGGCGCCGCACGGAGTCCCCGCGACGCGCGCTGG